TGCATCCCTCATGAGGAGGGTGCTGGAGTGTGTTCAGGGCTCCTGCTGGGAAGAGGGACAGGTTGTGTCCCGGAATCAGGCGCACTCCACCCAGAAGCCAGGAGGCTGTGTATGTGTTGGAGGCTGGAAGGCCTAGAGAGGCTGAGAGAGCCAGGCACCCAAGGTGTATGGGTGTGAAATCAAAGACTGCTGAAAGCTGCTCAAAGTGCACAGTGTATTCCCGAAGAGATCCTGTTGAGAAAAACAGTAAGGTCCTGCGACTGGGGCACTGAACAGGATAACCTGTGAAGGGTGAGCAGATATGTATGCTGAAGAAAGCTATGCTTGTTGGATTTCCTTTTTTCTGTCTGGAATTAATAAAAGACTGTGCTTTGTTATGTGAAAATGGCTTCATGACTGGTCCTTAAGCGCTCACCATATGTGCTAGATTCCCCCCAATATCACAATATGCAAAAACATTAAACAAACGTATAAAAAGTTACCAAATGGGTAAAGACTTACCTGTGTCTCCGACGTCGCTCCCGTCCAAAGATCTGAAGATTCTCGAGCGGCCGTGAAGGATGATGGGGCGGGCGCGTGTGCAGTAGAGATCTTTGGCCGGGAGAAGAGGAGAGACACAGGGTTAGTCAATGCATGCAACAGGGAGCGTGGAAGCGGACAGACACCATGGGACCTGAGGAGTCTGCGCTGGATCAGAGACCGGCACCAGCGCTGAAGGGACTACTGGGAACTACTGGAAAGAAGAAGATGATCAGATCGAGAGGCATCATTTAAGGTAAGTCCTTAACCACCGGCCGTCGTAATTAAACGGCCGGACGGCGGCTTTTGGAATGAGGGGCGTTTTTAAACATTCATTCCCGCCCGTGCCCGCAGCTAGGCGGCGCACACAGGCGGAAAACCTGTTTCAAATGTAAACAGCCAGCGATGGCTGTTTACATACAAGCGTTCTGGCGTCTGTAGAGACATCCGATTGCTTGTAATATGTGTGCAGGTGTGTGCCTGCTCCCGTTGACAGCGCTGATACTGAGCTCTGCTGCGCCCGGTGCGGCAGCGTTGTACAGGGAGATCAGTACACAATCTCCCGCCGATCTTTCCTCCGGTCTCTGAATGCAGGAAGTGATGTGTATTAGATCACTTCCGCATCCAGCTGTCATTCTTTGGCTTCTCTAGCTGGAGAGAAGCTGTTGAAGCAGATCTCTGTTTCATCAGCTTCTCTGGGGGTCCCTAGGTGGCATTAGGGGTCTTAGAGAGAACCCTGATGTCTCCATAAAGAGGAGCTGACACTCTAAATTGGCTATCACATAGGGGGCTTGTTAGTCCCATATGTCATAGCAATAAAGTTAAGTGAGAAAAAAAAATTAAACAAATTAAAGTTACCAGTCAACAAACAAACAAACAAAAAAGTCACATTTAAAAAACTTTAAAAGTCACATTTAAAAAAACATTTACTTTAAAAAAGTAAAAAAAAACACCAAAAATGTTTTAAAGGTCCCCCAGCCCCACATGTACACGCAAACAAGCGTTGGGTGCGCCTACATGCACAATGGACGAATGCGCCCATTACGCCGCACATGTTATAGATCACTGCAAACGTCGGAGTGAGAGCAATAATTCTCGGGCCATTAATCACTGATAACACTAAACTGATGAGCATTAAAAACGTTTAAAGTGTCGCCTATGGCCAATTTTGGGTATGATAGTTATTTGCGATTTCCGACGCGCTCAATTTTTATATTTTACCAAAAAATTGGGTAATAATAAATGTTTCCTAACATAATAAACGGAAAGCAGTTTTTATTTCAAAACATTCTGTATTTTTTTTCGTTATATAGTAAAAAATAAAACCCCCCAGTGGTGATTAAATATCACCAAAAGAAAGCTCTATGTGTCCCCAAAAAATTGTATAAAATGAATTTCCGTACAGCGTTGTATGACGGAATAAATGTCAGTCAAAGTACCGCAGCGCTGAATACTGAAAAATGTCCGTGACAGGAAGGGGGTGTAG